ATCATTCAGTTCTAAATTTAATGCCTTGTTTATATTCCAAGATTCCTATTGATTTTCCTCTGTGTCACATTATATTTACATCTTGTAGTCAGCTTTACAATTTGAAAATATAACCTTGTGTGACATATTGAAACATTTTCTTTTTTAAGGAAAAAATAAGGAGATATCAACAAACTGAAAAAATGTTTTCAGAGGCATAGAGTCTTCAGGAAGATACTGGAGTTCATGAGATCTCAAGGTTTGCATACATTATTGTTTTCATGCTTTTACACATCTGAGATATAACTGTGTCACTGTTCTGTGTTGGTATTGCTAGTGTTTAATTGGTTAATAAAGAATATTGCTTTTATACAAAACACATATTTTTTACAATATCTTTCAAGATTTTTAGAAATTTGATGGGGGAGGGTATAGCTCAGTGGTAGAGCGCATGCTTAGCATAAACGAAGTCCTGGGTTCAATCCCCAGTATCTCCTCTAAAAAATAAATAAGTAAACCTAATTATGTTCCCTCCACAAAAAAAAAATTTTTTTACAAATTCATTTATTTATTTTGTTCAGTTGGGTATGGTTACAAGAAAATATGGTTTCAGTAGAGAATCCATTGGTTATAACATTTTCTTCACTTTTTTAAGTTTAGTGCTGTTAGCATAAAATATATACATTAGGCAGTCTTATAAAATTTTATTTTTGATTTGTTAAGAAATGTACATCAGTTTAGCAAATCTTTAAATTTCTTTTGTATCTTTGGCTATAACATACATATATACATACATATATACACATAGTTTAGAGGGATAGCTGAGCAGCAATCCTGAAATTCTTTGATGCCCATTCCCTGACTTTCTCTAGGTACAGTCAAAGAAATTATATTTTTCCTGGAAAATGTGACCTCAATAGAATGACAGTTGCTATGAATGAGCAAAAGGATATTTGATAAACTTTTCTAAGTTGTTTAGGGTCATAAGCCTGGAAAAGAAAAGCAGAATAAGCCTATTATAATAAAGAGTTTAATAAGAGTAGTATTAAACTCTTTATTATAATATTGAACAAATGTAAAATACTCATTTGGAAGTCTGAGTTACAATGCTGGTTAACATGGTTCATTCTAATGGGATAGCTTGAGAAAGTGGATGATTTCTGACTACTTTATATTGTGGGACCCAATACCAAGTATTCATAGTTTCAAATGAAATTTATTAATGATCTGTTATTTATTTTTGTGTTTGTGTTTATTTACTTATTTATCTTTATTGAGGTAACATTGGTTTATAGTATTATACAAGTTGCATGTATACAACATTATATTTCTACTTCTGTATACACTATAGTGTGCTCACCATTAAAACTTTAGTTTCCATCTGTCACCATACAGTTGACCCTCCTTCACATCCCCCACCGCCACGCTGCGTCCCAATCCCTTCCTCTCTGATAACCACTACTCTGTAATGATCTTTTATTTTGATTACTTTGGTCAGGCTTGTCTTCAGTGTCTACGTTTCCTCACTCATCATATCATATCAAGGATATATTCATTCAAAATTTATTTCTGACTTACCATATGCAAGACAGTGGGCTGAGTGCTGCTTTGGTTGTTTCAAAATGAGTAAGATCTGGTTCCTGTTCTCAAGAATTGCCCAACCAATATGTTACTCAGAAATTAATTTTATTATTAATGCAAGCAACACATAATTAAAAAGACAGGCTAGGTTTAAAAGGGCATGTAATGAATTCTAAAGTGCAATGGGAATTATTTGGGGATTATTTGTATTTTCACATTATGGCTTTTATTAGCCTACAATACTGAGAGTTTATACCAATGGGAGTGATGCTCCATTACAACCCACACCCAAATGACTTTCATTAAAGTAGCGCTTCAAGTACAACGTAAGTAAGTAATGTGAGATTCTAAGAAAGAAAAATCTCTTTTCTGCCACAACTACAAATTTAATGTTGTAGAAATACTTACACAAACACCTATGAAAAGAACAAAGGTGAGCAATGCCTACTTGGTATTTTTTTATTTCTGTACATGCAATTTCTTTATTAAGCTCACCAGAGAATTAAGTCATTTCCTCAATGACCTGGAAAGGCATATAGGTTTGCAATGCTTGTAAGGTAGATTTGAGTGCTATAAACCCCTAAGGAATCCATATGCAAATTGAAGCTGGATGAGTAAAGAGATTTGTAATGGAATGGGAGTACAAACTCCACTTGAAATGGAATTGCACAGTGCTGTGTTTCTCAGATAAAGCTTTTAAAAAGGTGGTATCTTAAGACGTTAAAGCAAGTCAAGTAAATAAAAATAGTAAACATCTTTTTGAAAAGTCAGTGAAGACGCCCCTTGCTTAATTGTTCCATTAGACAAGTGGTTAAATTAATTTATATAACAACCACTATCATTCAGCAAATATTAAGTGCATACTATGTGCATGGAGGCAACAGCAGTAAATAGAATACACCAATAACCTTGCCTTAGTGGAAATTACATTTTAAAGGGTAGAAATATATAATCAATAAAAAGCGAAGTAATTTTTATGTTACATTGGATGGTGTTAGTAGTGCTATGAAGAAAAAGAAAACAGATAAAGGAATACAGAATGTAAGGAGGGGTGGAATTTTTTAAAAGCCTAATGACCTAGTACTGTATAATTCATTCAAAAGAGGTAAGTGCCACTTTTGCCCACATAGTGCCAACTAAAAACAGGTATAGTGAAATATAACATCTGATGGTAAATTTTCTATTCATCATTAGTTAAGGTAAATGTCATTAATGTATGTAAAATAACTAGTATGTGTCTCAGTTTTACCAGAAAGGCATTTTTAAATAATACATTTACTACATGTACATGAAATATTGTCAAAATGTTTTCAATAAAGAAATACACAATTGAACATGGATTAGTATATTCACTTCCTAAAGAGTAAAGACTGTAGGTATTCATTGGTGTGTGGGATAAAAGCAGTCCATTTTCAGGAATTAAATAAATTTCATAAACCTAATAGTGAAAGCTCTCTATGACCACACATATAGATGATACATGGTGCTAGAAGGCTGTATATAATTTTCATCTTGTTGTTTTATCGTCAGTCTTATTATCATTTTAGGAGAGTACTGAGTACTGGGATTGAAGACAAAGGGAATTATTTTAACAATATCTCATTCACATAGTATACTAATTTTTTAAAGGACATATGTCTTTCTTTGTACATTTATGAGAAGCAATATGGACATTTGGCTATATCGCTATTTGTGATTATCAACAAATGAGTCATCAGGTTTCTTTTGAAGGTAATCTGGTTAAATTTTTTTCTGTGAAATACTAGGTTCTGAGCACAAGATTCTGAAGTTGTTTACAGCCTAGATAACCCTGCCTGTTTTTTGCAATCTGCACTATAGATGAACCCATCACATAAATTGACATTATCTAAATGTCATTTAGTCTTGACTTACTGGATAAAACTGAAAATTTCAGCTAATGTGGTATGAGAAAAGTAGTTAAATCAATTTTTTCATTGTTAATAAGTTAATGTGAGAGGAATATTTAGCCATCCAAATAAAATTTAGATTAAAAGGTTTCAAAACCTATTAAACATTGCAAGCCTTTCAACCTTCCGAAAGACAAGTATTATAGATAGTATATCATCTAAAGGAAATAAATTTCCGGTATTGAAGTAGCAAAAGAAGTACAAAGTTAAGGTCACAATCGTTTAGAGGGCATATCTTAATTAACCCCAAACAAAGAGTATATATTACATGTTATATTGTAGACAGAAGAGATGGTCAGCTCTGTGAGACTGACCAAAATGAGGCAATCAGTACAACATTATTGCCTGTTTCGGGAAAACTGAAAGAAAAAGAAAAACAGAGGCAGAGGGCTAGTGGAAGATTAAGGGGGAAAACAAAGACTTCTCATGTGATGTCACTGTGTCAGAGATGGATTCCTTCCAAACCAACATTAACCTTTGTTTCATTCATCTGGAAACTTTGAAGGGAAGACTAGAAACTTTTGTTTCATCTCCCATATATTTATAAAATCTAAACCCAGTAATATTTTGCAGATTTGTACCACAAATCCAGTACCCCAGGGACTCTTCCAAATAATGACTCTTCCATCCTCTCACAAACCACCATATACAAATATACATCTTTGAATCTCACATCACCTGACATGCCCATGCTCTAGGTGATTCCTCCTTCTTCACCTTTCCCCAGTGGTTCTCTAGATGATCATCTACTATTCTTGTTTTTCCATCCTCCTTATAAATAGTTGATCTACTACAGGTTTCTCAACCTCAGCACTACTGATATTTCGATAGGATAATTTTTTGTTGTAGGGGCTGTTCTGTGCATTGGGGGATGTTTAGCAGCATCCTTGGCACTAGTCATTGGTAATATTCCACCTGCCAAGTTTTGAAAACCAGAAGTGTCTCCAGACATTGCCCAATGTCCCCTTGGGATAAAATTATCCCAAGATGAGAAGCACTGATCCTCCAAAACCTCAGTAAATATCCACTGCATGTCAACCACAAAACCTCCCAACCACCTCTTGTTCTCAGTTAAAATTCAACTAGGGCACTTTAAATTCCAGCTCCTCTTGTTATTGTGAAACTCACTTCTGACCATTTGTATGTTTTAAGCTTCTTTTTATTGGCTTACACCTGACCTTGGATCTAAAATGTCTAACAAAATAATGAGTGAATATAAAATAAATGAAAGAATTAGGGAAAAGGAAAAGGAAGGTAAAAACATAAGATTAAGTCAGGAGTTACGTTAGGTTTTAGGTTACAGATGAATAAACCCTTTACCCCTCACTTTTTTTTTCTTTGAATTCATGAATCTATCCATGTTCTTCAGGCCTGGCTTGAAATTTGGCTTGGACACCAGCAGTTCACCCTCCATATTTCTACAGCCTGTCCTTTTAATACCGTACATGCAAACCTTAATCTGTATAGGAAACCTCTTTTCTTATATGCCGGCATATGAGTGCCACAGGAGAAAATTATACCACTCTGCAGATGGATGGTTTTCTAATCTGAGTTAGCCTTCAGTAGCATTTACTAATCCTTTCACTCTGACCACAGTCAGCCACCATTTCAAAAGTTTGTCACCCAACTCAAGCCATACAGTCTCTCCCCTCACTATCCATGCACCTGCTATTTTGACAAGAAAATTGAGGTCATTGTGTGGAAACTACTTGTGCATCCTTGCAATTCCCTCCAGCATCAAAGAGCAACATCTATCAACATTCTTTCTTTCCTCCAGTCTTAAGAGATCAGGAGTCCTTCCTGCTGCCCAAGGCAAAGCCTGTGTTTGATTTTATTCCCTAACATTGAGGCCAAGGCTTTTGACATTAGTTATTCCCTTTATGTCCTTTATCTTCAACTTTTTCTTCTCTGCTGGCCACTTTTCTTCAAGCTGTACATGCTTTTCAAACTTCTATCCAAAAAGAGGAAACCAACAAACAAAAGCAAACTGACCTCTCTCTCCACTAGATTTCACCGCCACCACCATCCAATTTCTCTGCTCCCCAATTCATTCAGACTCTCCAAAGCAGCCGTCTACATTCATTATCTCTAACTTCCAAGATCCAGTCATGCCTCAGCACAGTGTGATCTGATTTCTAACCCCATTTAACAGAGCATGCTCTCTCTAAAGGCTCCAGTGACCTGCAGTCCTTATCTTGACTGGCTCTCTCAGGAGTATTTGACACTGTTAACTTCATTTTTCTTTTTTTTCACTCCCTGGGCTGTGTGACACCCCTCCCTCTTGGTTCGCCTCATACCTTGTATACCTCTTCTGTCTCTTCTTTCACAAATTCAGGAATCAAAACTCAAATACTGATGGGTGGCAATAGATAATACAAATGAGTGAAATTAGCTAATTGAAAACAATGAACACTGCAGAAGCCAAACAACATGCCCACAAAAGTTCTTGATAGTTTACTCTTGCTTAGATGATAGCACTCCCTAGAGACCCACACTCAGCTGACTGCTCAGCTCTCCTCCCTGCTTTCCCTGATCAGACAAAGCCACTTTTGTGACTTTCTTAATGACATAGATGGCAGTGACTCCAATCCTGTCCTTTGATTAAACTGCATAATTGCATATTATACACACATGTGTACAGGATATCAGTGCCTAGTAGGGACAGACACAAAAGCAAATCAAAGAAATGGACCACGAAGTCCAAAAACAGACATATGTAAATGTGATCATGTAATGCAACAAAGAAATAATCATACGTCAGTGGGGAGGCCTTCTAGTGAAAGGCTATTAACAACCCCAAGTACACAATCAGTGTCTGATAAAGAAGATATTTTAAATTAGGAGAAAAAGGGAAGGACAATGGCTCACTATGTAGAAGGTACTAGAACAATTCTTTAACTACTTGGAGAAAAATAAGATGTGAGCTATACATCATACTATATTGAAGTAAATTGCAGATAAAGATTTATAATATATTTTAAAAGATTTAAAATTACTTTAAATATTTTTTTAATTTTAATTATTATTGAACATTTAGTAAATTCAGTAACTTAATAGGTATTTATGTGCCTTTGGTTTAGGTAAGCCTTTAAGCAATGCAGGAAAGGAAAGAAAAATGAAAAATCATTTATTCCTTTTTATATTTGTGAAGAGTAAAACTCTCTCTTCTTAGTATACAGTTTGGTGAGATTTGACAATTGCATAGAATCATGTAACCTTCACTACAATCAAGGTACAGAACAGTCCCAGCTCCCTCAAAATTCCCCTGAGATGCCCCTTTGTCAGTTTCCCCAACTCCAGTCCCTGGCAACTGATCTGCTCTGGATCACTAAAGTTTTGCCTTTTTCAGAATTGCATATCAATGGAAACATATTTTGGAATATGGAAGAATTTTGCATCTGGCCTTTAATTATAATGTATTTGAGATAGGTTTAAGCTGTTGCACATTTGAATAGTTTGTTCCTTATTACTAGGTACTATTCCATTGTGTAGATGTATCAGTTTGTTAATCCATTCACCCATTAAAGGATATTTGGGTTGTATATTTCTTGATATTTTGAATAAAGCTGCTATAAGGATCCAAGTAGAAATTTTTTGTGAGAAACTAAGTTTTCATATATAATGGGTAAATGCCTGGGTGGGATATTGTGTCACATGTTAAGTACATGTTTATAACTTTCTAAGATACTGTAAAAATATATCCCAAAATGGCTTATACCATCTTGCATTTCCATCAACAATGTATGAGCATTCACATTACTCCACACCTTCACCAGTATTTGGTATTGTCAGTTTTTATTTTATTTTATTTTAGCTATTCTAATTATCCTTGTGGTTTTTAATTTACATGTCCTTAATAAATAATAATATTGAGCATTTTTCCTTGTGCTTATTCACCATCTACATATATACTTTTGTGAAGTGTTTGTTCAAATATTTTGTGCAATTTTAAAAAAAGACTTATTTAGAGCAGTTTTAGGATCACAGCAAAACAGAGTGGAAAGTACGAGATTTCCCAAATATCCCCCACCGTTTACACATGCATAGCTTCCCCCATTATCAACATCCCTCACCAAAGTGCTATCTTTGTTATAACTGATAAACCTACATTGACACATCATTATCACCCAAAGTCTGTAGTTTTCATTATGTTTCATTCTTGGTGTCGTACATTCTGTGGGTCTGGATAAATATATAATGACATGTATCCATCATTATAGTATTAAGCAAAGTATTTTCACTACCCTAAAAATCCTTTGCGCTCTACCTGTTCATCTTTCCCCCAGCCCTCAACCTCTAAACCACTGATCTTTTTACTATCTCCGTAGTTTTGCCTTTTCCGGAATGTCATATAGTTGGAATCATGTAGTATAGAGTCTTCTCAGATAGGCTTCTTTCACTTAGTAATTTGCATTTACGTTTCCTCCATATCATTCTGTGACTTGAAAAGCCACATTTCTTTTTAGCACTAAAAATATTCCATTGTCTGGATGTACCACGCTTTATTTAATCCATTCACCTACTGAAGGACATCTTAGTTGCTTCTAAGTTTTGGTAATTATGAATAAAGCTTCTAGAAACATTCAGGTGCATATTTTTGCATGGACTTAAGTTCCCAACTCTTTGAGTAAATATCAGAAAGTGTAATTTTTAAGTCATATGGTAAGAGTATGTTTGATTTTTTAAGAAATCACCAAGTTGTCTTCCAAAATGCCTGTACCATTCTGCATTCCCAGCCACAATGAAGAGTTCTTGTTGCTCCACATCCTATCCAGCATTTGGTGTTGTCAGTGTTTTAGATTTTGGCCATTCTAATAGGTGTATAGTGGTATCTCATTTTTTAAATTTGCATTCCTCTGATGACATATGATGTGGAACACCTTTTCATATGCTGTTTGCCATCTATATCTCTTTGGTGAGGTGTCTGTTCAGGTCTTTGGCCCATTTTTTAATCTTTTTCTCATTGTTGAGTTTTAAGAATTCTTGTATATGTATAGAGATTTTTGCCTAATTTTTTATTGAACTGTTTTCTGTTGTTT